TCCTTGAGGAGGAGTGTATGTTCCCGAAAGCCACTGATATGTCATTCAAAGCGAAACTGTATGACAACCACTTGGGGAAATCACCCAATCTGCAAAAACCACGGCCTGACAAAAAACGCAGATATGAGGCTCATTTTGAGTTGGTTCATTATGCTGGAGTGGTAAGTGTGAGAAATATGTGTTTGAGAGTGTGTCTGAGTGAAGAGACAGCACACACTTGGTAAACTGAGACTCGCCACACATTAGTTAGATATCTTTAATTGATTAACATCGTCTCCATGAGGAGAGAAACAGAATTTTAGTGGCTGGTTTTGAGACTCAGATTTATTTGGATTTTCCCACAGGTCCCTTACAATATTATTGGATGGCTTGACAAGAACAAGGATCCATTAAATGAGACTGTAGTGGCAGTTTTCCAGAAATCTTCGAACAAACTGTTGGCATCGTTGTATGAATCATACATTAGCGCTGAAGCAGGTGCTTTTTTTTTGAATTTGTAAGATTGGGGCCTGTTCTTTAACAGAGTCCTTCAGATTAAAACTTTCCTTTAGTTAGTGCAATGGCCTTTATCAGCCCTGACCCTGCTTCTGATACAAAACCCAAATCTGATCTTAAACACTAGCCCCAGCTCCAGATCCACACTGTGTTATCTCAGACTCTAGCATCGGCAGTTCTTACTATCCTCAGTTCTCATCCTGGTCGTGATTCCAAATCCTGACCTTGAGCTTGACCTTATTTCTGATCCTGAGCTCTAACCACTGACCCAATCCTGATCCCAAAATAGAACTTGAACCTTTGACCCCAAACCCAGTGTTGATCTCTAAGCCTGACCTTAATGCCCCCCATTATCAGCAAGTCATTGGGGTTACAGTTAGAGTCAGTTCCAGAGGCCAGATCTCTATTCTCTGAATGCTCCTTGTTCATCAAGAAATGGCAGGATGAACTGATTCCCAAGATTTTAACCCAGAATCAGTATAATTAAGCTTGAAGACAAGCCATGTATCTGTGCCCACAGTCTGGCCTGGAGATTGTTTTGGTCTTTCTGTTTTTAATCCAGTGACTCAATATCTAATTCACGTCAGTCAAACTGACCCGGGATTATCTTGGGCTGAGTTTCCTGCTTTAAGCAGCTGCATCCACAGATAGATAACCCTTGAATGGATAATTTATTATTTTAATTTTCTCTCTTCATTCCAGCCATAGAGCAGAGCAAGAGTGGCGCAAAGGAAAAACGCAAGAAAGCTGCCTCTTTCCAGACTGTCTCTCAGTTGCATAAAGTAAGTTTCCCCTTTTCTTTTTAAGTCCAGCATCAAATTGACCTTTTTTTAAATATCCCAGCCAGTCAAATGTGAGCCATCCTCTCTGTGTAAAGACTGGCTGACTGTGTATCATATGCAGCTGGCAGAATTCTGAGATTTCTTTAACAGAACATTGTAACTTGGGAAGACATGACCTCACCAATACCAATAGGATAATTTGAATTGTAATTTCCACTCTGAGATTCTCGGATTGAATTGTGAAGCTTTGTTCGTAGTTTGGTATTAAAAGCCTAAAATTGAGCTTAATGATGCTTTAATGAATCTGTGCTACACATTGGGAAATGGACAGAATTGGGAGCAATGTTGGTTTAAAGACCTCCCTCTTGATGACCAGGAAATATTGACAAGATTTAAAAACCAACATTCTGTATGATCCCAAACTTCAGGAAAATGATCCCTTTCTGTTTAATCAGCCTCTTAATTCAAATCCCCTTCATTGAAATGATCGAATATTTCTAATATTCTACTTCCAGATTTGCAGATTGCTCTGTTATTCACATTTTTTTCATTCAAGTTATGAGGTTTTGAAATGTTTTTGTATAAAGATTGCTCAGATTTGGTGAAATGGTTGAATAGCAGAGTGTGAGAGTCTGTGTCTTGTTAGAAACAGAGTCAGGTGATATTTTCTTTCTTGGAATATTCACTGTTGTAATTTATACTTTCTAATCTTTAAAAGCACAAACATGAGGCAAAGATAGCAGAAATTCCAATAAATATCTCCCATTGTACATGCCACAAGAAAAGATTTCCTTACAATTATTGAATTTTCACTCCATTAGGAGAATGAAGCTCCCGCTGAATAGACAGAGCACAGATATACAGAGCCCTCGCAAGGCCTGTTATCTGGTATCATTGATACCACTCATTTGAATTCCCACAACTGTCTGACTCTGACTGTTCAGATTGTCAGCTCCCAGCTGGGTCTGAGTTCTGTGTTTAAAATTAATAGTAACGTTAGTTTCTAATCTCATTCGCCAATGAGCAAAGGTATAGGCCCTTCAGCCAATCATCAACCCCCTAACTTCAGGAACCAGATCCCCGAGCAGCATTGACACCACTGTGCCCACACACCCGCCCTCCCCCTCCACTGGATCTGGCAGCACTGTGCCCTCCCCCACTGGATCTGATAGTGCAGTGCCCTCCCCCACTGGATCTGACAGCACTGTGCCCTCCCCCACTGG